TAAATCAGAGAGAACATAACATTATTCTTTTAGATTTAAATAGCGTATTGCTAGTATTGTCTTTGTTTAGTTGTACTATGGTTTTTAATTTATTTAATTCCTGATTTTTTTTAGAATTAAATATCAAAAAGACACTGCACCAAAATTATTCAGTTTTTCAAATTGAACTTTTTGTTACGTGTGTGTGTGTGTGTGTGTGTGTGAGGGTGTGTGTGAGGGTGTGTGTGTGTGTGTGTGTATTAGGGATGTCAAATCGGTCAATTTTTGATAATCGGTTACTCGGACGTTTTTCCGATAGAGTACCCGGGTACTCGGTAAAAATGAAATTACAAGACAGTGCGTTAATTTTCTTGAGCCCGGTTAAGCCCCGTTAAATCCCAAAGCTGTTTTATCACGTTTATAAATGTATATAAACAACTGAGTGAAAGGGAAATGATTTTTGGTACCAAATTTATTTATCAAATAAACTCAAAAGACACAATTAATCCATAAAAAAATGGTTTACATTTCTTGTTTAGGATCTATTTCATCAACACAAAAGGACAATCTGTTACGCAGTTTTCTGATGTTAGACAAACGAAAGAGAAGGAAAAGGCGTTGTTGGGATCGCTAATCTAATATTATTTCATAATTTGGTTGTTTCCCACTAAACCTACTACGCAAACTGACTTTCAAATTTTTTAAAATCTTTAAGTTATTTCTAAATATTTCTTCACTTTTGAAGTGGGTAGCGGTATTTCTATGCATATCCGATTTCGCTACCGTATATTAATTAAATAATTTAAAAACGATTTGAATATAATAGACCATACTTAAACGAGGTTTACTGAAAACAATCATTGAAGCCATCCAAAAATTAAGGACCACAATAGGTGTCATTAGGTGAGAAAAGCTGTGTACCAGATGATTGGTCATTAATTACTGTATATACACAGCCACAGGCGATAATGGGTGTTTTACAGGTGTAGATGACGACACGCTAATTACCGTATGAATATTTAATAATTTTTTGATAAGTTTTTGATAAAAATATGTACTTTGAAATAAGAAAAAAAATATATTTCCGAGTAACCGAGTACCATTTTTAGTATTCGATACTCGGACGTTCGATCGAGTACCCGGTTAACCGGGTACTCGTTGACATCCCTAATATATATATATATATATATATATATATATATATATATATATATATATATATATATATATATATATATATATATATATATATATATATATATATACATACGAGAGTTGCCCCAAAAAGTAGTAGACAATGTTTATAACTTTGTAAACGTTCAACCTATACTTACCAAATTTTGCATAGCTACTGTACAATCTATTTAATGTTCTTTAAAAAATGAATTCTTAAACAAATATTTTTCATAGTAATACTATTATGACGATTTGACTTTCCGGTCACGAGATGGAGTAGTATACCGCGGCCGGTAAAATAGAGCTCCGTAAATTTCATGAGTTTTTGTTTCTACTTCTGCCAATTTTAAAATTTCTTAAAAGTGATTGATTGCATATGTGTGTACATGTACCTGTCGAATTATAATTTAAAAGTAACGATTCTTCCCAATTTTGATGAATAAAGAGATCTATTGTACTAGCTATTGTGAGTGTTCGTTTAAATGGCGGATAAACAAAGGTCGGAGAAAAAAGCGGACAAGAGACAAGCAGAAATACCGCAAAAAAAACAGCCAGAAAAGAGACTTGTTCAGCTTCACTTACTCCATGTTCCAGAATCGGTAAGAAATTCGATACTGTCCAATAAAGTGTCTACTAAAAACAAGAAGCGAACAAACAGTTCAGACTAGGATTCCCTCGTGGGTGCCCCCACAGGTGTGCCAGGAATATCAAGCGACCTAAAGTTAATTCAGGAAAGCTTTCTCAAATACGAAAGGACATGTAAAAAAAACAGAAATGAAAGAAATGATATCTTCAAAACTGGAAGATCTGAAGAAGGAAATTAAACAAGAAATTTTGTCAGACGCAAAAACCACAATTTTAAGAGAGTTGAGGGAAAAAACATTATTAAGGAAATTAAAAAAAACGCAGTAAAAGAAGAAATCGAATATAAGATTGAAGAAAAACAACGGAATACCAAAACAATGTCAAAGAAATTGCAGATGATATCAATCTTGACTTGAAAAATTTAGTGACCAAGCACAGGAGTTAAGTTACATGAGAGAAAGTTAAAACGAAGTCTGTGTATGTCAAAGAGTGCTTTAACTCTAGCAAATCAGAATCAACAGTATTCTCAGAAAAACAATACAAAATTTATGAAAAGGACTGCCTGTCCTGCAAATCTTGACAGCTTTTCAACATTATTACCGATGTTTAAATTTTGCACTCACATTGTCCAAAACGTCAAATTTATGTTATATATTTATCTATTGCCGTCATTCTCAAGGGCGAACACCTTGCCGTTAAAATACCATGCCGAATGTATCATTGGATCCTCATTCACGAAACTTAGCGATTACTGGTCTTGGGCCCTCCCGAACTCCACTTGGAAATCGGTGGATAGCCAAGATATCGGTTGGTGCCTGCTCAATATTTACAGTCTCTTTGAGTATTTTGTATAGTCCCATCCTCTCGAATATTTTCGTTCTGCTTCTCTTTCCATCTAGTAAACAAAACGAATCGTGAATAGGACAAAAACATAGACTCATAGAAACACAGGAATGGGATCAAGTGCCTAGGAGGAGAAAGCATCCCTTGTTGACCGGTCACACTCGCTGTGAGCCCTATGTACTGATCAGGTATACGGATTCTCTTCTTTCTTGCCTATTTAAAGTTTTAATGGAGAATCAAAGATGCAAGAGGCTCATGAAAGCCTGTGTGAGATGTCAATAGTCATGACTTCATAATTTTTTCCCGTCACATTTACATATTAAACTTTGATTTATTGTGGCCCCATCCTAAATCAAGGGACTGTGATTTGCCAAATCTTAAATCTACACAACCTGTGATAGTTGCATATTCATAAATCTGGAGATTTTTTTTTCAATTTTCATAACCAATGACTTAATTTTTGTTAGAGGGTAAGAATAATAGTAAGATGAAAAAAGTGAAAATAACGTACATTGATCGATCTCAAAAAGTATCTACATACAATACAAATATGTGAACAGGACATAAAACATGGACCGTCGAAATTCCAGAAGTGGAATCAGGTAAACGATGCTTTGTGTGTGTGTGTGTGTGTGGGGGGGGGGGGGGCACAGGAGATCATTTGGTAGATGGTGGCTTGCTCACTCCGTGTTTGGAAGATCGTGGGTTCAAGCCCCTAATCGAAATAAAATGGGTAGCAATGAAATGTATGGAGATAACGAACAGTATTCAAGTTCAAAAGTCCATTACACAATACAAATTTTGGAGCAGAGCAAACACGGGCCTCTAAAACATCAGAGGTGGGATCAGGTGCCATGGAGGAATGAGCATCCCTTGCCGACCGGTCATACTCGCCGTGTGCTCCTTGTCATGATCTGGAAATAACGTAAAAATCCGTCGATAATTCAGTGTGTAAATAATGGCCTAACAATAAGTATGAAAAACGCCAGTCAGTATTTGACTAAATGATAATTTGTATTGGTTGACATGGTCATTGTATCAACCTTAGAACTTATTAAATGACTATTTTAAACGAGATTGCTGATATTCTTGTTTCATCAACTTGTTTGTCAATAACTTATCTCGTTTTAGAAATTGTTCATACGTAGAGCATGCTCTTGCGTATCAATCAACTGAGAGATATAAACCCCGTATGCAGGTGATGAAGGTATATATTGCTGCATAAGTAAGGGAAGTTGACGATTGTAAAGTTAAGGTCATCATGTTTATCATAAAGCTTGGTTGTTAGATTACCATTAACAATAAGTAATTGTTCCTTCGCCGTAGACTCGGCACTTTGAAATAGAAGTTTCGGGCCTTTCCGATGAAACAGTGAGAGTATGTGTCACGGTAGAGGTTGGCACGCTTAAGATCTCTCAATGCTCAATGGCCCTGAGTGCAGAGTAAAGATCTAAATTTTAAGCCCTTCACTGGCATGTGGTGACGTCTTATACGAGAAATAATCTTACAAGGGATGTAAAAAATGCTAACAATCAATCCAATATGATCATAATATGTACGTTAAACTGAATTTAATATGCCAGAAAGCTTTCATATCAGTTTCTTCTACTCTGCCTTGGTAATTCTTCATTCTTTTAATATACCCATCCTATTTTTGCCTTTTTCTTCATTATATTGAATGAAAAAATAAATTGAAATTTAAGCAAACATTCAAGATTAATAGTAATTGTGATTTTCTAATTATAAAAGTCACAAAGACATGTCTCTGATAAAAGGATTACAATTTGTTATAATCAAAACCAATAATAATACTCTATATCGTCACTTAAAACGACTTAAAAATTATTAAACATTGCTTTAACAGCATTTTATTCGGCACGCAGTGTTTCAATTGTAAATAGAAGAATACGAAATATTGGCAGCTTGGAAATATGATCTTTTGTCACTTTCACTTTGTCACTGGAAAAAAAGGTGTACAAAAGTGTTATATTTCCATACATCTTTATTATATGAACATTTTTTAATAGATTGAATACGTAGTTTATTATATCCCTTATTAAAGAACGACAGAGAATGTACCCAGGGTTAAATTTGCTTTTATCGATAGTTAACCATAGATAACCTCGTATGGAAGAACGATATAAAATGTACTCGTGGGTTAAATTTGCTTCTATCGATATTTAACCATAGATTGAAATAAAATGAATATAGAATTTATGTATTCGTTTTCGAAGTCTAGTTTTTGGACATGATCATTAAACGACCCACATAGCGGTTTTTATCTTTTTTAATGTAAACTGATGATTTCATAACGAAATAGCTTATCCTTTAATATAGCTTTACAGGTGTTTAAAATATACATGAAAATGACGAATAAAATATTTATGCTTTTATTCACAATTATATATACAGCATAAGAACATCTGTCACATAGTAAAAAGCTGTGTCGTTTTAGACATTGAGATTCCACCAGTTGTATTTTCACTATTTTTCATTGCCTCAATTCTATATTTTGTTCTATGCTGCTGTGAGGTTCCAAGCGAATACCATATATCTATACTCCTTCCACCTCACCGGTGTCAGTGTTATTCACTGGTACTGCTGCAGAGTTTGTATTCTCTGCATGTACAGCACTGAGGTACCTCCAAGGTTTCCAGTTCAAATCTATGATTGTCAGGACAGAAAACCCAGACATTGAAGAAGCGATGTCTATCAGGCAAACAAGCACTTGTTACGGAAGCATTCTTCGAGCAACCCCTGTGAGGATTTTGTTGCCATTTTTAGTACATATTGTAAAAAAAAATATTAAGTATTTCGAAAAGAAAATAGGGAAGAACAAAGATGATTAGAATTACTAAAATAAAATTTTGAAATTTTAAAATACATGACAGACTGAATTGTTGATTTATCAAAAATAATACTTACCGTTTGTTTTCACATTTTGCGTATGTTACACACTGCCGATGAGGAAATACAACGTAGCATGATTTACTATTCCTAACTACCCTTGTTACGTACTCAAATTTGTGTGGGCAAACGTTTGTCAGTCCAATATCTGACACTTTGCTGCAAGATTGTTTTCCACTTTTTAATTGAAGATAAGATTTCAAGTATTTTATGATTAAAGTTACACATTAAAGTAGTAAAAAACATGTACCTTGGTTCGCAGTCCAACGATTTTTTATCAAGAAACTTCTTTATTCCTGGTCTGCACTTTAAAGCACGAAGAATTTTTCTCCTGAAATATATTTTCTGAATTTTAAAATGTGGAATCCAAGAATTGGAACTTTCAAAATCAATATGAGTAGAATGTTGTGTAGACAATATATAACTTTGGTTTAAAGGTGGATAACATGCATATGAGAGTGTCATCGTGAAGTACCTTTCAGATTCCTTTCAGAGTATGTTATCTTGTATGTATAATCTACCATTGTGCAAATGTTAATTGTTTAAAGAGTGTCTATTAGTAACTGAAAAGTAATGAAAATTAAGTGCTTAAAAGAGGTTGAAGGACTGGCATTAAAATGAAAAACATTGAGCTAAAAAAACTCATTCATTTTATTTCATATATTACTAATTTAGTATGTCACACGTATTTTGTAGTAAATCTATATTACGATTCTTATTTTATTTTAGAGATATTGATGGACATTACTGTGCCCTACAGTAATGGTTTATAAAGATTTCATTCTTCATGCTTAAGAATCCATTTTTCTTTTTAAAATGGAAATTTTGAAGCACCGATAAAACATTGTTGTAACTTGACATGTTCTTTTTCAAATATTTCAGAATATGAATTGAGTTTTAAAATTATAAGCATATAGATAGGTAATTTGCATATTTTTCAAAAAATATTTTTAAAACATAAAAAAATAGGTCTGTGGGGAAATCTGCCATTCAATACTTTAATATTTACACTGGAGATAAAGTCTTCATTTTATTGATGAACTGTAGCAGTATCTAAATGTGAAAGATACTTCAATATTGCACATTTCAAATTCATTCTCTGTTTCACGTCCTTTAAGAAAACACTAGATAAAACAAGTAGGACGTATTTATATTGATGATTGAAAAGAAAATTTTATACAATTGTTCATTCATTTTGTATTGTTGCCTTTCAATAACAGCAGAATAAAATATTATTAAATATGTTTTCAAAGATTGCTGAATAGGAAGTGGAGACTGACCTGATCGTCAAAGATTGACAGTCAGAACGGACCTCCAAGTGCGGCTTTGTAGGCTCTTTCTCCCAGCATTCATTCTTAACGTCATACTTTCCACTGCCAAATCTTACTTCATCACATTTCTTTTCGGTAGCATCAGTGAAACAGGCCATAGAGAGGAACGTTGCGATAAGGAACCAAGAACACTAAAAAGTAGGTTTGTACTATCACATTCAAAATTAAGTTTATCACATAACAAATAGAAAATTAGAAACGTTGCACATCATCGTAAACGTTTGATTGGAAACCTAAAACGAGATTAAATATTTTGATACGTATGTGATGTCCTAAGAATGGGATTTAATGCAGTAAATACACGTAAATCAGACAATTAAGATGACAGACTGATATTCAAAATTTTTATTATTTTCTAAAGAAGAAATGGGTATTTGTGAATTGAATACGTGTATAGATAGCAGAAATTAAAATTATCATGATTGTAAAGCTTTCTTACTTTTACAGTTAAATATCATATTTCATACGAGAAACATTTATTTAGTTATTCCTTGTTTATTAATATGGACAATGGCATTTAACAAAAAAAGGAATAATGGCAGTATCTAAAATAAAATGTAGATGAACAGAAAAAAGGCTAACAAATCTTACCTTCATGATGTCAGACATTCAAGTTTCACGGAAGCCAGTGAAGTTTAGCTTTTCATACTTACGTTTATATACCTTTTATTCAATGCGCGCAAACATTTAAAAAACCAATACAAAATCTGAGAAAAAAATCAACAAAAAAAGAATTTTTATCTTTTTACCCTTGAAGCTTATATCTGCATTCAAAATCAGTACTACGATAAGCACACATTCCAGATAACATTTATTACGACTTACAAAGAGGTACCGACTTGTACATTAAATTTCCTTCGATTCGTGTTCGCTAAAATATATAGTTATTATTTCTCAATTTACTAATATTGTAGTATTTGTATATCATATCTATGTTTATATTTTTACAGATATTCATATTCGAATATATAGATCTTTCATAAGGTTCCAATTTAATGAAGTATTTAGTTTTTATTCTTCTTGTATAAGAGGTATATCATGTTCTTATTGGTTATAACACAAATAGGAGAAATGCCAAAAATACAAAGAGCTTATTTCTTTTTAATACTTACATGTATGAAAATGATTTGAATCTAAAATTTACAATGTAAATTTCTGATTGTTAACAAAGTATAGAAGAAAACTACCTGTTTACTTTTTAATTCAACATGAGTGAAAATATTGTTAAGGGGGCGTTGAGCTAAATTTTTAAGAGAAACTCAACAAAAAAATAAATTAAATTTTTTAAAAAATCTCACATACCGTTTTAAGTAAAAAAAGAAAAAAAGAATTAGACACTTTAGAAAAAATGCAAGATTATTTACTTTGGCACAGAGCAACTTTGAATATCTAACTACGATTTAAAAAAAAAGACTTCTTGCTTTATTTTACCGGTACGAAGAAATCAGGAAAGACGCCCATTGAAAAAAATAAAATTCTATAAAATGCAAGATAATAAGCAAATTTAGACATGGCGCCAATAGACAATTTACGTTGAACGATAAACGTCATTCAAATGAAAGTTTGTTAAATTAGGTTTTACTAGCTTAAATCTATATATCAGATATATGGTCCGGCAAAACATATTTTCGCAACAATTTCTGAAATGAATTCGCGGAAGGTGTTACTCAATTTTAGGGTAGGCATGCATCACCAATACAATTGCTTTTATTTCAAAAGGTATTTCACCAATGTGAATAATTTCAAGAAATAATTTTCGAATTTTCTTTTATTTTTGTCAAGAACCTTTAATAGAAAAGTTTTAAAATTTTCATTGTACATGGACTAAAATCGACTATTTTGTACGAGAAACATGTTCCCATAACCCCTCCAAAATATATACATTTTTCCAATTTACCAAAACTCTTCTTAGAATTAATCTGAGATCGATCACTGTTTGTTATCTTTACCTTTAGCTTGTGTCCGGTAGATGAGCAGTGAAGTTTCAAAATCTTCATTCTCATCCTTGGTACCAGTTGGGGGTCGAAAAAAAGTTTATTTCCACAACAACCATGATCCCGGAACTCTTTTTACATTTTTCTTATCTTTTGGAATGAAACATGGAATGTACATATGTACATGTAATAAGGTTTCAGAATTTCAATTTAACTATCTAAGGCCGAGTCTTTCTTTCTTTTTTCAGAACACAATATTTTTCCTATAACCCCTTTTTACTGCAATCAATCCTTTAGTTTCATGGCTCCTAATCTCACCTCTGTTTTTTGAGGTCCATGTTTGATCTGCTGACAGTTCATTTTGTTGAACTGGAGTTAGGGCATGATTACAGTTCTTTATCTTAACATTTCTTTCAGAATGGTAATTATTTTTCGAAGGATGGATTGCTATTCTAAGCAACATTTGTAATATTATTGGGATTTTCTCCGATATGCAGCCTATAAAAACAATAAAATAAAAGTATAATATAAAATGATCCCCTTTACATATCCGAAGATAAAGTAAGAATTGAAAAATCATGTATATATATATATATATATATATATATATATATATATATATATATATATATATATATATATATATATATATATATATATATATATATATATATATATAAGATTGGCAAAAGTTATTAATAAGGATAAATTTAAGATATTCTGTATGAATCTGTACGAGAAGTACGTTTTCTTGTTGAATGTTGCTGGGGGTTGTATGTAAATACCCCATATATGTGGGTTAGTTGAAGTTCTCATGAAATATTTACTATAAAGTCTTATTCATTCTTGCCTCCAGCAATTTTCATATACAATGGGATAAAAGATTGATTTATGTTACAAAACCTTGTCAATAATTATGTTTATAGCTTGTGCCGATGTTATTTTTGTGCAACTTTTAGGAAAATTATAAGTGTCTGTTAGGTGGTCAACAAAGTCATATGACTTCTCAAAAATGAATTATTATAATACCCGATGAAACTCTTCGGGAATTGTTTGTACTAATACATAGTTTATTAACTAAGATCAAAACCTATAGCTAGCTCGAAATAAAATAGTTTTGTGCATTTCAAGCCTTCGGAGAGCCTTAACGTAGCTGCGTGTCTGCAGACGCAATAACTGCCGTAGATAAAACAGATGATAAAACCAATGTCCTATATACATTTAGCAGTATGGCTACAGAGAACCTGTGGAGATTACGAAATGCTAAGAATCTCGATTTAACATGTATAAAAAAAACCCTCAATTTTGAGAAAAGAAGAAATAATACATGCGTTTTGGTTATACATGTATATTGCATTTATACAAAAAAGGATACAATATGAAAGAAACAAAAGTATCATTCGACACTTTATCTATCATTTATTATTACACATGCAAGTTAGAGAAGAAATCTTAAATTTCTAACTGGTAAAAGTTTGCGTTTGCATCAGCCATTGTCAATCAAATGTCATTTATCATTTATTTAATTTGGCTTTTAAAGTATTTTTGTACTTTTGGTAATCGATATTATTTTATGTTTAAAAAAAACTATGATGTCAAAAAAGCATGTACTTTACTCGTCTTTATAAGTTTTATAATTATTTTGATTTTTCATACATTGAACAATTATCTGATTTTCATAAGTATATTTTTACATTACCAGGTAATAGCAATTCTATATTTCCGCTGATAATATGAAGTGTTTTGCCTATCAATATTCAAATCATATAGTGCACTTAGTACATGCACTTGAAATGTGAAGATGATCATCATCAATGGTCCGGTTCAAGTTTTAAACAATTCAATACGAGGGCCATTCAAAAAATACGAATAAAATGTCTTCGTCAAATTATTTTTAAGAAATTTAAGATCAACACAGTGCACATGTTAAAAACATTTATTTTGTTGCAATTGATGTGAGCAGTTTTATTTTATTTATCAAATAGAATTTACGTTACATTATTTTAAAACAAACATATTTTGTCATCATGGAGCACGTTTGTCAACGCAACGTCAAAAACATAACGTCATGACAGTTTCTCAAAAATACACTACCTCTTTATTTCACACACAGTCTTTGGCACCTTACACATTTGCATTAAAGAGTTTCTATACCACTGTATACTTCGTTTGCTAACAATTGCTCGAGTATCAAGATAATACGTCAAAGTTTTTGTTTTTTTTTTCTTTCAAAAAGCACTGAAATGAGGTAACCATGCCCAATTTGAATATTTAATTTTTATTTTTAACACGATTTAAATAGCTATGGCTATAGACATTTTATAGTGTATTACAATTGCATTACTAAATTTTGAATTTCTTCGTGACTCCATTTTTGCAGTTTTATATTTTGAATGATTTCAAAATGTAAATCTTACATGTTACCAATTTTGATGCAGCAGATGCGCATTTCAACAAATTATTTTTTTAGTGATGCTCATGCCGAAATGTTGGAAATCCGAAATATTTAATTTAAAAACTTTGAAGAACTGAAAAAGGGGTGGAAAAGACTGGAGCCAAATACGTCGAAGGATCAGACCTATGCATGAGTGAGATAATCCTTAATTTTGAAATAAATTTCTAAATTTTACCACAGCAATTAAATATATATCCGTATTTAAAATTAGTACCGAAGTACTTAGTTATTGGGCTATAGAGACCCTCAGGGACCAGTCCACCAGCAGAGGCCTCGGCACAGGGGTCATAATGTAAATCTTATACGGTACCAATTCTGATGCACCAGATGCGCGTTTCGACAAATGATGTCTCTTCAGTGATGCTCATGCCGAAATATAACATGATTTTTTTTTTTAATTTTTCAATTCAAATTACCCGGAATCATTATTGAAATATTTCTACCTTTTTTTTTTTTTGGGGGGGGGGGGGGGGGAGTCATAATATTATGTTAAATAATAAATTTATGACAAAAGTCTACGTATTTTTTAATAACCCTCGAACAAAATTTGTGGTGAAAATCCTGTTCAGATCAGCTTTGATCACTTTAAAATGGTGATTAAATACTTTTTGGGTATAAATGCTGTCCTTCATATGCCCAAAGAACTTAAGGATATGTTTTGTTTTTTATTATTTTTGTTTAAATCGTAGCATTTACATATCATTTCTAACAGACTTGTGGTGTTTACATCAATGAATGGTATATTTCATTATATATATTAATCCTACTGTAAAATTTTATTTACATGGACATTTCTTTCGTAAACCCATGAGAGTCGCTTTTCTTGCCTTTTAATTTATAAATTATACTTATTCATATAATAAAAATACACCTTTTACTTACCTTTTTATTTCTAAAATATATTTATTCATATCGTAAAGACATCTTGGGTTATATCATTTCGATAACTTATTGACTTATATATTGTACCGAATTTTCTATTGTATTCCCATCCTCCTATCCATATTTCTTGTTGTTGGATCATTTACATTTGCGGGTAGCAAACAATATTTTTGGATATGATTCGTGTATGTAAATATGAATTACATTTGAAATTTTATTTTGACAACCGTGCAGTCCCAAGAAACGAAAATGAGCACGGCATCTACTGTTCATTTGTTTGCTGGGCGATTTTCTTCAAAGCAATAAAAAAAATAATAAAAATGGATTTTAAAAAATTAAAAATAAGTTTAAAATGATGTAAAATAAATTTGATTTTATAGAACTCTTTTTTTAGAAGCATCAGAATTTGGTGTTTCAAAAAAGTTGTGCATTTGAATAGGACTGAAAAAAAAACAATCGAACAAATTATCCTCTAGAAAATATGATGAATGGAATTTCTTAAATGTTGTTTACCAAACAAAAAAATTGTGACAGCTATTTCTAGAGGACAAATGGTGAATAGGGCTAAAATTGACAGACAGTCTAGCTTGTCTTTAAAATTAAAAACTACACAAAAGAAAAATAGGCGATTTTAAAAATTAAATTTAATACCCGATAAATTATTAACCGAGATATAGAATAACAACATAATCACACGTTTTATGACACGCTTTAAAAAAATAAAAGAAAAAGAAAATAGCATCAAAACACAAGAAATCAAAATTCAATTTCGGTATTAAGGTAATAAGTTATTAAAATATAACTGACAATCAAATGATTATGAAAAATAAAAACATAATTCAGTATAACCTATTTTTCAAAATATTTACAAATAGACCTAACTGTACCTAATTAATATTTTTGGCAACAAAATATTCTTTTATAAATGAAGTAGTTATATACTATGGATAGCGTTTCCATACACTACGTCTCTAGACGCCATAATATATAATGCTGACTCTAAAAGTTTTAGATAAGCAAAATCATCATCATCTATTTTGTAAAACGTAATGCATTACTAGATGTGAATACTGATAGGTAAAATTTCTCACATTTTCAGCAAAGTGTACAATTATTATTTTTTTTTTTTTAAAGAAATGCAAAAAGTTACTTATCAAAATCAGCTATTTATTTAATGTGTAACAAATCAGAAAATTTACATGACTTAAAAAGAAAAGAAAAGAAAAGTACATGTTCTCTTGCAGTACAATATTTATTTTTATATCATCCAATTTTTAAAGTACATACCAAATAAATGACATTTGTTTGCCATAGATTAATGAAAATGCAAACTTTCATCAGTTTGAAATTCTAAGCTTAAATACATAAAGCTTAAATACATATATATGTCAGACTATGTTTCTTTTCATAATGTATCAATCACTACAAATGGAATAGACAACCCTTAACACATGTACAAATTCTTCCTTTTCTTAAAATTTAGTCTGATATAATATTGAATTCCTCAGAATTTTTTAAATTCACAAGATGATTTTTGTCAATACAATAAAATGCATAGTGGACATCTGTATATACAACTTTAACAGAAGATAAATCGTTTGATTCATCCAAGTTAGTTATTGTACCTAGAGTAGTAATTTTGCTGTACTTTAATTCAGACCAAAGTATTTTTTGAAGAAAAAAGAAACTCAATATAATTACGTGACACACTGTTTAAAATTTCAAAAAGCAGAAATTAGCGCCAAAACACAGATATTCAAAACCAAATTAATTTATTAAGTTTATAAACCTAATTAATGAAAGATCAGTATAAGTATGAAAATATAAATGACTATAAACAAATTCAATTTTTAATATTAGTTTCAAATACTACAATAATATTAATTTGAAAAATAATTTTATATATTTTAGCAAACAATCAGACCGAGAGGAAACTTAAAGTACGTCAGTACTTCTTTGTATCTTTTTTTTCGTTTTCTGGAATGTATGTTTCTCATTAGAATACAGATTTTAAAAACAGATACAAGCTTTTAAAGTAAAAAGATAAAATTTCTACCGTGCACGGCTTTTTGTTCTTGATTTTAATCAAATCAAATTCTGGTTTTCTGATGTTTTCATGCAATTAGCAAAAGGTATATAAAGCGTACATATGAAAAGCTTAACTTCACTGGCTTCCAGGGAACTTCCAAGGCTGCTATCATGAAGGTAAAATTTTTTAACTTGGCCTTTCTCTATTTACGTACAACTTCAAAATAATTCAAATTTTTCTTTAAAAATTAATGCTGTCCATAGTTATGAACAAGACATAACTTAAAAAATTCAAAAATATTCAAAATAGAATATTTAACTGTAAAAATTGAAAAAAAAAACAGCTTGGATAATTTTTACCTCTACTATAAAAGTCGTTTAATATAAACATGGATATAGCGAATTTACGGCTATAACGATTGCATATAAAATTATACGTTTATAACGAACTCTGATATAAAGAATTTACGGTATAGCGATTTTTTTACAAGATTCTTAACAATTCCTTGTCCATTTTTGATTCCTCGACACCAGAGTATAGGCTCGGATCTGTGATTATGGATATTGCAAATCATAGGCTTTTTAAACCCCCGCGTTTTACTAAAGAAAATGCAGCTAAAACAATCCGTTTTTTCCCTTAAACTTTAATATGCCAGCAAAGGAATCGACGAGGTTAATATAAGTAATATTCTTAATTACAAAAGGGTACAGTCTTGTATTCCACCATATTTCAAGTTAAAGACTACACCTTGTATTTCCTACAAATATACATCGACTATTGCTCCCAAACTTTTTAATCACAAGAAAACTTTACAGGGCCTGGATATCGAATATCTGAAACATAATCCTCAATCGTGTTCATGTTCTTCTTCACCCTATAACTATAATGCTGCTGGACACGTTATTACTGGTGACGTAAATATAGTTAATAATGAGGACCTTGGATCACTAATTTTAAAAGGTCCTAAATATAATGAACCCTAATCCTTCAACTGACGTCGGAATTTTATAAATATTATGGATTCTGTAGAGGACTACGCCAGGCGATGGGCCAGACATGAAAAAGAAGACCTTGACACTTTGTCAGAATGGATTAAATGTATCAGATGTATGTTAAAATCGCGCATTAAAAGACCGAGGGGCAATATGAGAACCATCTATCCTTCTGTATTCAATAATCCAGAAGTGAAAAAAGAATTAGATAGATTAATGATCAGTACGTACTGGTCACTGCTGACAAAGCAGGTAACAACATTGTCTTTGTTTGTAAGGCTCATTATATTAAATGTATTTTAGAGGAACTTTGATTTAATTATACAAGTGGTAATCCAACTTATACTCATAGTTTCCTTTCTAAGGAAGAAATTCTTCAAAATCCTGTGTCAGTTTTTAATATTTTTAATATTCCAAACAATCAAAATGAATTTGAATTACCATATTTGTATTGGATTCCGAAACTTCATAAAAATCTTTACAAACAAAGATACATAACGGGTTCCAGTAAATGTTCAACCAAGCCTCTTTCTTTACTCCTCACTAAAATATTAACGGTAGTGAAGGAGAAACTTCAAGAGTACTGTGCAACAATATATTTGAGAAGTGTTGTAAATCAGATGTGGATACTTAAAAATTCCAAGGAACTTTTGGAAAATTTGAAATCAAAAGATTTTACCAAAATCAACTGCTTAAAATGATATGAAGAATTTATGGCTATAGCGAATTGATGTTGTGTTCCGTAGTGTTTAAAAATGACGAAATTAATATCATTGGTATCGAATGTTTTAAGATCTCAATTTTTTTTAATTTTTGAAATGACAATACTTTTTATAAATATTTATATTGGAAATTTAATGCAGCAGACTTTTTTTTGCAAATTCAACCTATCCTTGGATCATATTTTAACTTACATGTTTTATACCAATTGAATCCGTTGTTCTTATATTTAACTGACTGTGCGATAAATCATCTACCTGAGCAATATATAGGGCTCACAGCGAGTGTGACCGGTAAACGAAGAGATGCTTACTTCTCCTTGCAAACTAAAGTAAAAGTCAATTAAACAATAACTTACTTTGTTTTTTTAACCTCTTCTCTCTCGACATGTATTCCATTCACGAATACAAGTTTTTCTATAAGAAATAATAACAAATTGGCTATGCTGAATATTATTCTAACTGTCATCTTAATTGCCAAATTACTCTCTTCATAAAATCCCTTCCTTATGACATCTCATACCTATCCAAATATTTCAGTCTTGTTTTAAGTTCCATTCAAATCAAAATCTTATTCATTTTAATGAGTGTGCGTACTTCTGTCTCTAATTTTCTATTCGAAATTTGATAAACTTGTTTATGAATGTTATTTTATAAACCTTTATTTCAGTGTGCTTGGTTCTTTATTGCAACATTCCTCTTTAATGCCTGTTTCACTAATGCTACCGAAAAGAAATGTAATGAAGTACGATTTGGCAATGGAAAGTATGACGTTAAGAATGAATGCTGGGAGAAAGAGCCTACAAAGCCGAACCTGGCGGTCCGTTCTGACTGTCAATCTCTGACGATCAGGTCAGGATTCACTTCCATTTCAACAATTTTAGAACATATACTTAATGTTATTGTATTTTTCTGTGATCAAATTGCAGCCAATATAAAATGAATGACCAATTGTTTAAACGTGTTCTTTTAAATTATCAACATAAATATCTCTTTTTGTTTTTATCTAGTATTTTCTTAATTTTGATTTTGCTGAAACACAGAATGAATTTGGTATAAAATTGCTGTGTTAATTTCCTTGGCTTATAAGTTTTGCTCAGCAAACAGCGATCAAGCAGTGATAGCAAAACTAGCACCTAAATATGAAGTAATGTCTTCCAATGTTAATATTTAACTATATCTCGAGAAATCTTGAATAATACTAAATTGTTAAATATATCGGGAGATACGTTTCAATACATACATATATATTTACATATTAAGCTATACTCGTAGGGTTTCATGAATATGGAGTTAAAAGTTTATATAATGTGCTAAATGAAACTATCGAAATAAAAAATAAAGATGTAGACCTGTGCTTTTAAGCCTTTTCCTCTTTTGTCGCTGTACTTAATTCTTAAGATTAAATCGATAAAATTATTTTGTATTTCTCATTCGATGAAAATATATATTTGTAAACATCTAATATTTTCCTTCACGTCAGTCAGTCAACCCCACAATGACACCAATAACAAATTAAATTAATTAGAAATAGAAGCTGTACAGTGGATCATTCAAGATATCTGCTCAAGGAACAACGATAGGTCGATAGTTCAATTTCGAATTTTATAACACTTCAATTTTTTTTTTCTGAATGGTTTATCATTCTATATCATTAATGGTACAGATATATATTTACTGGTACGAATACATTGTTTTCATTAATGGTATATTTGTTATAATACAGATACTGTTATTATAAATGGGTGATGTATACCTACATGTAAATATAAATGCTGACTTAATTAAGTAAAAACATGGTCACACGACTTAATTTGACTTATTCATAGTCTCTGCAAATGTAGGTGCAAAACATCATTGAAATCATCATTACTTATGTTAAGTCATAACAATTTGATTTATGCCAGCATCTTATATAAAAATGTAAAATGTTCACAGATTTGTATTGCTTGTACCTTTTTTTTCAATTGATCAATGTTATTTTCACCTTGTTCATTTAACGTTTATGTCAATATTAATAAATTTTGAAGGGACGCTTCCGTGTCATACATGACCTATAAGTACAGCAAGAAACATCCAAATTCTTTAACCCGTACCCATCCTGAAAAAATAAACATGAAGCGATTTTATCATATTTATATCTTGTTTAACGATACCATGTGTATGAAATATATTTCAGGAGAAAAATTCTTCGTGCTTTAAAGTGCAGACCAGGAATAAAGAAGTTTCTTGATCAAAAATCGTTGGACTGTGAACCAAGGTAAATGTTATTCACTTCTTCATGAGAAAATTTAATCATAAAATACTGTTTTGAAATCTTATTTTGAATTAAATAGTGAAAAACAATCTTTCAGCAAAGTGTCAGATATTGGACTGACAAACGTTTGCCCACACAAATTTGAGTACGTAACAAGGGTAGCTAGGAACAGTAAATCATGCTACGTCGTATTTCCTCATCGGCAGTGTGTAACATACGCAAAATGTGAAAACAAACGGTAAGTATTATTATTAAAAAAATATCAATGCAATCTGACATGTATTCTCCATTTCGTATATTTTTGTAATTTTATTATTCTTTTTTTATCTTTACTTATTTTCTTTTCGTAATACGTAATATTTCTTTACAACTTGTACTTAAAATGACAACGAAATCCTCACAGGGGTTGCTCGAAGAATGCCTCTGTAACAAGTGCTTGTCTGCCTGACCGGCACCGCTTCTTCAATGTCTGGTTGTTCTGTCCTGACGATCATCGATTTGAACTGGAAACCTTGGAGTTGCCTCAGTGTTGTACATGCAGAGAATACAAACTCTGCGCTGCTGAGAGCGCCGAAGCACAGAGATGAGATGTTGTTTTTGTCTTCAAAATATGCAGTATAGGATGAAATTGAGGCAATGAAATAAGTTAAAATTGATACAGATGTTGACATCTCATTTTTTGTAACAGCACATATACAATATTACACATGTTCTTATGCTGTTTATATAGTTGTGAAATAAAACATCAACATTTCGTTCGACTTTTTTAATGTATAATTTGAACGCCCATAAAATTAAAGATTATTCAGTTACTTATGGATTCAAGATCTTTTATAAAAAATTATAAATCTCTATGTGGGTAAGCGTAATAATGATCATATGTCCAAAAATTACTATTTGAAAACATATACATGAATTTTAAATTCTTTCATTTTCAACTATCAATCAGACCAAATTAAACTCAGAGTACAGTTTATATCAGTTCTTTCATACGGGAAACTGTTTATACTCAATCTTTAAAAATTACCTAAGAAAGGTGAAAAAAAATAAAATTTTTGTATATTATACCCGAAGAAAAAAACTGGATGGAAAGATCATATTTCTATTGACACATTGCGTGCAAATTTAAGAGGCATTGATGGCAATGTTTAATTTTTTCAAGATTTTTAGGTCACCTGAGTCACTCAGGTGACCTATTGCTATCCGTTTTTGTCCGTCGTCATGTGTCGTGCGTCCTGCGTCGTGCGATGTGCGTTAACATTTCAACATTATCAGCTTCTTCTCTGAAACCGCTCAACCAATTTCAACCAAATTTGGCGTAAAGCATCTATGGGTAAAGAGGAACAAAAATTGTGATTTTCATGGTCCCTGCCCCCCTGAGGGCTAAAACCACCAAAATTATTGCAATCTTTAAAAATCTTCTTCTTTACTCCTGGACATTAAGCAGTCAAACCGTGGGCATGATTATAATAAACATTGAGCCCTCTACCAAAATTGTGAAATTAATGGCCCCAGGGTCGGGGGTTCTGGTGCTAGGGTGGGGCTATATTGATCATATAGTGAAAGTGCATTATTTCATCGAAAATCTTCTTCTCTGCTCCTGGGTATTAAATAAACTAAGTACATAGTTATTATGAGCAAGAGTGCCTTATCCAAAATTGTGAATTTCATGGCCCCAGGGTCAGGGGTTCTGGTGTTAAGGCGGGGCTCTATTGATTATATAGTGAAAATGAATTATTTCTTTGAAAATCTTCTTCTCAGCTCCTTGGCATTAAATAAAGTAACTAAGTACATAGTTATGATGAGCGAGTGTATCTTATCCATAATTGTGAATTTCATGGCCCCAGGGTCAGGGGTTCTGGTGTTAGGGCGGGGCTCTATTGATTATATAGTGAAAATGCATTATTTCTTTGAAAATCTTCTTCTCTGCTTCTGGGTATTAAAAAAACTAACTAAGTACATAGTCATTATGAGCAAGAGTACCTTTTCCAAAATTGTGAATTTCATGGCCCCAGGGTCAAGGCCTCTGGTGAAAAGGGGGGGGGGTCTATTGATTATATAGTGAAATAGCAAAATTTCTTTGAAAATATTCTTTTCTGCTTCTGGTTAAAAAGCAAGGAAGCTATGTGTATAGTTATGATGAGCAAGAGTCCTCTTCCAGAGTAGTGAATTGCATGAGCCCTGGGTCAGATGTGCTGGCGTAAGGGTGGGGCTCTTGATAATATAATGAAAATGCATTTAATCTATTAAATAATCCTATCTGCTCCTTAGTGTTAAGCAGATAAACAAAGTTATTACTTATAATGAGCAAACTTCTGGTCCCAGGGTCAGAGACGCTGGTGTTTCTCGGTTGGGGGGGGGGGGGGGGGAGGAGAGGGCTCTATGGATAATATAGTGAATCTGTGGTAAATATGCATTATTTCTTTAAAAGTCTTCTCTGCACCTGGGCATATCAGAGGCAAAAAGAGTAAATGTTTTAATAGGGAAGGGTATTTTTTACCAGATTTTTGAACAACTGGATCATTGGTCAAGTGTTCTGGTCCTGGCCAGGGCTCTATTAATTTGTATTCTACTGAGAGGAGTTATTCCCCTTTGTCATTTACTTTTGATAATTAATCAATGTAAATAATGTACTTAAAAGGTTAATAGAATAAGAGAATTATGCAAGAATTTTTATTGTTTAATACAAAAAGTACTTTCGTAGTTTTAATGATCAGTTAGACTTGTAAGTAATAGATAAATAATAATGAGACAAAAGTAATTTGTCTTATTAAATATTCATCAAAGACCAAGAGAGGCCAATGTAAGAGTTTTCAACAAGGAATTAAAATAGTACAGAAACACTGATAGTTTGTTAATATACTGTATGGTGATGGTGATAAATGGGGAACAGATTAGAACCTAATTTATGAACTGTTAATGAATGCTAGACTAATTATTTCTGTTCATCCTTATCATCCTATTTTTCTTGCTTTCGGGCAACAAAGCTTCACCTTTCAGTTCATTCTATACTCTATGGATCCTCTAAATTGTTTTATTATACTCAGGTGACCGTTAAGGCCCTTGGGTTTCTTGTTAATATAAGTGATAATATGAAGCATAACTAATGCTTTACATAGTTACAAATCCTCAACTTTTAATGGAAGACTTGTTGGTGTGACTTTTATAATTAGGAAATTACAATAGTTTACTTTGTAACAAATACATGTATGTATTAAACATATCTTTTTCATTAAAATAATTCACCTAAACCCCATTCATTGGTTACAAGACAGTTTTTTAAAGCACAGACACAATATCATTAAACATTTCACAAGTCTCCTACATTTTCAAATTCTCATTAAAAAACACTCGAATCTAAATCAAAGTTTTTTTCTTCCTACAGAATAATAGTTTTATGACAAACTTGATAATTAAACATTTGAAGAGACTGCAATCAATTTAATATTTAAACTCCATCTTTGCAATTAAAAGTTACAAGTTCTACGTAAAACGGAGTCTAATGAAAAAAGTAAAGATAACGAACAGTGATCGATCTAAAAAGAAAACTACATAATATTGCCAAGATTCTTTGGATCATCTAATCTCTCACATCCATTTTTAGCTGGACACCTGATCAGACCTCTGATGATTTCAGGGGTCTGTGTGTTTGCCATGTTCTCGATTTGTTTCGTATATTTGGATTCATGAGGTTGATCACTGCTCGCTATCTTCATCATATACAAAATGTGAAATTTGTATTATACATGCATGGAGGGAGAGAGAGAGAAACGAATCAACTTGCAATATGATTGTAATCACTGTTCACCATTTTTATCCATTTAACCTTTAGGGAATAAGTACTTTAGGAATATCTCTCAGTATTTCTTTCTTAAAGAACAATAACTGATGAAGGTTCATACTCATAAACGTTCTATTAACAACTGAATCATATCTACATCTCCATGCCCAGTGGCAATATCTATAACTAATTTACCATGACTATCTTTGACATTTAACAAGTGTAGGTGTTTTGTTGATAAATAGCAACAAACATTATGTTTACCATTCAGACAAGTGATATGCAGAATACTTTCACCATCATTTGACAAGGCATTTACGTCCAATCCTTTTTCTTTTAGGAATGATACAATTTCTACAGCTCCTCCGCTGCAAGCTGAATGTAACACTGTCCATCCGTCATTGTCCCTTATCTCCAGTAACTCTGAAAAATGATTGACCAGATACCTACACATTTCCATTTTACCCGATCGACAGCATTGATGTAAAATTGTTTCACCATCTTCCTGTAGGGTATTGATGTCCATCCCTTTCTCAGTCAATAATTTTACTATTTCAACATTACCTCCCCAGGCTGCATCATGCAACACTGAGTTACTTAATCTGTCCCTCGCATCTAAAAGATGAGGATGATTCTCAATTAAGTATTCACAAATTTCAAACATCCCACTGAGACAAGCAATATGCAGAGTACTTTTACCATCACTTGACAAGGCATTTAAGTCTAATCCTTTTTCTATTAGGAAAAAAACAGTATCTATATCTCCTTCACTGCAAGCTGAATGTAACACTGTCCATCCGTTATTGTCTCTTATCTCCAATAAATCTGAAAAATGATTGACCAAATACCTACACATCTCCATTTTACCCGATCGACAGCATTGCTATAAAATTGTTTCACCATCTTCCTGTAGGGTATTGGTGTCCATCCCTTTCTCAATCAACAGTTTTACAATTTGAACACTTCCTCCCCAGGCTGCATCATGCAACACTGAGTTACTTAATCTGTCCCTGACATCTAAAAGCAACGGATGATTCTCAACTAAGTACATGTATTCACAAATTTCAAACTTCCCACTGAGGCAAGTAATATGCAGGATACTTTTACCATCATTTGACAAGGCATTTAAGTCTAATCCTTTTTCTATTAGGAAAGAAACGATTTCTAGACTTCCTCCTCTGCAAGCTGAATGTAACACTGTCCATCCATTAATGTCTCTTACCTTCAGTAAATCTGAAAAATGATTGACCAAATACCTACACATATCCGTTTTACCCGATCGACAGCATTGATATAACATTGTTTCACCATCTTCCTGTAGGGTATTGATGTCAATCCTTTTCTCAATCAATAGTTTTACTATTTGAACATTACCTCCCCTGGCTGCATCATGCAACACTGAGTTACTAAACCTGTCCCTGACATCTAATAGATTGGGATGATTCTCAACTAAGAACTCACAAATTTCAAACTTCCCACAGAAACAAGCAATATGCAGAATACTTTCACCAATATTTGAAACGGCATTTAAGTCTAATCCTTTCTCTTCATGGAAAGAAACAATTTCAACACTTCCTCCTCTGCAAGCTGAATGTAACACTGTCCATCCGTCATTGTCCCTTATCTCCAGTAACTCTGAAAAATGATTGACCAAATACTCACACATTTCCATTTTACCCGATCGACAGCATTGATGTAAAATTGTTTCACCATCTTTCTGTAGGGTATTGATGTCCATCGCTTTCTCAATCAACAATTTTATAATTTGAACATTACCTCCCCAGGCTGCATCATGCAACACTGAGTTACTAAATATGTCCCTGACATCTTAAAGCAACGGATGATTCTCAACTAAGTATTCACAAATTTCAAACTTCCCACTGAGACAAGCTATATGCAGGATACTTTCACCATCATTTGACGATGCATTTAAGTCTAATCCTTTTTCTATTTGAAAAGTAACGATTTCTAGACTTCCTTCTCTTCAAGCTGAATGTAACACTGTCCATCCGTTAAAGTCTCTTACCTTCAGTAAATCTGAAAAATGATTGACCAAATACTTACACATTTCCATATTACCCGAGCGGCAGCATTGATGTAAAATTGTTTCACCATCTTCCTGTAGGGTATTGATTTCCATCTTTTTCTCAACCAATAGTTTTGCTGTTTGAACACTTCCTCCCCAGGCTGCATCATGCAACACTGAGTTACTTAATCTGTCCCTGACATCTAATAGATGGGGATAGTTCTCAACTAAGTACTCACAAATTTCAATCATCCCATTGAGACAAGTAATATGCAGAATACTTTTTCCATCATTTGACAAGGTATTTAAGTCTAATCCTTTTTGTATTAGGAAAGAAACAATTTCTATTCTTCCTCCTCTGCAAGCTGAATGTAACACTGTCCATCCGTTATTGTCTCTTATCTCCAATAAATCTGAAGAATGATTGACCAAATATCTACACATCTCCATTTTACCTGATCGACAGCTTTGATGTAAAATTGTTTCACCATCTTTCTGTAGGGTATTGATGTCCATCCCTTTCTCAATCAATAGTTTTACTATTTGAATATTACCTCCCCTGGCTGCATCATGCAACACTGAGTTACTAAACCTGTCCCTGACATCTAATAGATTGGAATGATTCTCAACTAAGTACTCACAAATTTCAAACTTCCCACTGAGACAAGCAATATGCAGAATACTTTTACCATCATTTGACAAGGCATTTAATTCCAATCCTTTTTTTATAAGAAAAGCAACAATTTCAACACTTCCTCCTCTGCAAGCTGAATGTAACACTGTCCATCCGTTATTATCTCTAACAGATATTAAACAAGGATACATATTTACAAGATACCTACACATTTCCTCGCTACCCATTGCACAACACATATGTAACACAGTCCACCCTTTATTTGTTTTATAATTGACATTTAATCCTGAACTTGATAGTAAATTGAAAAGATCTACGTTGCTTCCTCGAGCTGCGTAGTGGAGCACATTGTCCCCATTATTATCACATACATCCAGTAACTGAGGATATCTGCTCAACAGATATTCACACATATCATAATGACCATTTTTACATGCAATGTGCAGGATAGATTGACCTAAATTATCTTTTTTATTTACCTTGGGTTTATTGTCACTTGATACATGTAATAAATTTTTATTCTCCAAGAGGTTAAGCATACATTCAAACATATCTATTTTCCCACTGAAAGCTGCCCAATGCAAAAGACTTTTTCCATGAATATCTGTGTGCACCTGGAGTGATGCAGGATATATCTCAATAAGGTATTTGACCATATTTAGCCTTCCATTCTGACAAGCACAAGTAAGAACAGTGTGGCCATTGTCTCCATCTTTTTCATACGGATCAAAGCCAAACTTTAACAGAAGATTAAATGCACGTTTGTCCCCAGAACTTGCTGCGGACTGTAATGCATCGGAACCCTGGCTGTCCTTTATATCTACAAGGAATGGGTATTTTGCCAGAACTTGTTCAATTAATTGCGTTTGTCTTATATTAGACCAGACTGGATGCAAGGAAGTTGAAATTTGATGAAGATCAACAAACTCACAAACTCGGAGCAATAACTCTATATTGCCACTTTGCACAGCATAAAAACACGTTTCAAGATCACATTGCACATCCGATGACAAAATGAGATGAACAATTTCGGGTAGATTTTTTGAGCAAGCGGCGTTAAGTGATCTATATCTTAGTCTTTTTTCTGAACTCGGTAGTAAATATTCAACCCATCGCTTATTTCCCGCCTTCGAAAAATGCACAATCATTGAATCTCCCTTAATATCACGACATGTTTTAAATATCGAAGTGCATAGTTCAGTTTGTATTACGTGCTCATGGAAGTTTGAATCATCCCATAATTTCAGTGACGATATGGAAGAATGCCCAATCACAGACCTTTCTGCAATGATATTTGCAATGCGACATGCCACATATTTGAATAATCTTTGTCCTATGAAAATTTGTGTGCTGTTAGGCTTTTTAAATGTCGTCAGTGTCAGAAGTAAGGACGGATGACACATTTGGATAACTTTTTCAGGATCAAAATTAAACAAGACACTGAAAAGAGATTCCTGTACTGAACTATGGGAAAATTCATATGTATTTTCTATAGTGTCATGAATAATTAAAAACCCCTCAAAACAATTAATGCTCTCCTGAAAATGGTTAATATATGAGTTTTGTAGACCTACAAATTCTAAAGAGGCGCGTTTCATCTCCAAATCCAGGTGAGGGTTATCAATCAATTCGAATTCTACGTTTCCTCCACTCAGAAGAAGATACACTAAAACAGCGGTTTTTGCAGTTCGATTTTTCATTAAAGTTTTAATGTAGTCTTTCAAAAACATCATTGGATTTGGTAAAAAGGCAGATACATTTTGTTTAATAGCTGCATTGCTTCTTGCCAATTTACAACACTGTGGAAAACCTATAGATAATGGCATTCTATATACCTTATTGATAAGTTCTCTGTCTTCTATGTATTTAGATAGCTCATATTTTTCTGATAGCTGTAGGATCTCTTCCTTAAGCAATGCATTTTTCTTGCTTGATAAATCAACCAGGGACGACTTGAAAAAATCGTCATCACAATCGTTCTGTACATATTCCTGATATATATCATTTCTTAGCGCTAATATCAATCTGTTTGATTTATTACTATTGTCACTTTCAATCAACACTATTACCATCTCGGCTATAGCTTTAAATTCTTGAACATCATCGCTAGACAAAGAAAATTCTCCAAATAAATTGTCAATAAATACCACTATTCCATCACCCGGTAATATGCTTCCGTACAAATCTGTGAACTTGTAAAGCTGAAGAGGAGATTTTCCATCATTCATCAATTCTTTCATTAACATCTTGGCGATTGTGGTTTTTCCAGTTCCAGGGTCACCCTTGATGATGACATACCCGTTATTGTCCATCAGTTCCCTCGCTATGTCAAACGCACGAGTTTTTACAAATAGATGACCAGTAGCTTCATAATGCATCTTTATCATTTTCTTTGTCATTTCTACAGAAAAGAGAGTCAGTACATATATTTTTATAATGCACAAGAACCATTAAGGTGCTGATGTCATGTAAAAGTGAGTTTTATGTTGTTTTAATTATTACGGTATTTAAATATATAATTTATTGAGTATGCATTTATGAATAGTAACAACCGATTTTTAACGCTAATACTTGTATTTGATCTGTTTGTCAATCAATATTAACCATGACAAATAACTTATAGATAAAGAAATCAATAAAATAGTTCATCAAATAAAATAACTTATTAAGTCAAATGCTGACTGATGCTTTTCATACTAATTGTAGTGCCATTATTTACGCACTGAATTGTCTACGGATTTTTCCGTTAGCCGATCATAATAAAGATCACACGGCGGATGTGATCGGTCGACAGGGGATGTTTACTCCTCCATGTCACTTGATGTTTTTAGATGTCCGTGGTTTTGACTTGTTCATGTCTTAAAGCCGAAGATTTGAACTTTAAGATGATGCCAATTTTTATTATCATGTTGTGATATAAATACAACGATAATGGCCTTAAAGTGACGTCATATTTGACATCGTCAAAGTGGAATAACCAGAATTTTATGATATTGTAAATTTTTATCGTTGTCTTTCTTTCATTAGACTTCAATGGAATGAGTCCATCTGCGATGAATTTTGTCAATAATTGATAATTTTATAGAAAATTTCAAGAAATGTCGTTTAAAAATTCGTATTAATTTTCTTAGAACTGTTTTTTAACTAGTATCTTCATTTCACCGTGCATCGAACACAAATTAACCATGCATCGGACATTGTCCGCTGCATGGATAATTCCTTTTTTGTACATTGTTTGTTTGTTTGTTTGTATATTGTTTAACGTCCCTCTCGAGAATTTTTCACTCATATGGAGACGCCACCATATGCCGGTGGAGAGCTGCAAATTTTGTCCTATAATCGGCACTTACGGCCATTGAGCAGTGAGGGATCTTTTTCGTGCCAGCACCTACTGCGACACGGGACCACGGTCTCATCCGAAGGACCGGCCTCCACGTCTTACAGTGGGATTCGAACCCGCGACGTAAGGATCAACTCCTTACTTCGCGACTCTAGAGCAGACGCTCTAACCACTGCGCCACGCGGGCGACCCTTTTTGTTCATAGATACATGCATACTAGTAATACTAATTCTGACGGCTGTTTTCGCAGAGATAAAAAATAAATATAAATTCAAAATATTCAGTGAAAATACAAGTTATCGATATATGACAACTACAAGTGTACTTTGACTCTTTATTTCTTCACACTATAAGATCAATGATCCCCCAAAATCAAGGGGGTGGTTGCCGTAACACGAGACATTGCAAGGCCTATCTAATTAAGGCGATGTGATGCAACTAACATATCTCCATAATTGTTTATCAATATAGTCAATCAAACAAAATAGAGAGTGTTTTTAAATTAAGCTTGAAAATACTTTCATGTCACTAATTAATAAGCATTTTAGGTATTTGAAAGGCTACGGCGATAAAGGTAGGATATTTTTCCTGTTCAATATACAGTTTGTCCGAAGCATGGTGAATACTGTCCGATCCATGGTGAATTCTGTTTTATTCCAAAAAATCGTTTTTAACATTTTCTCAATAAATAGCATAAAGTTGTGTCAAAAATTCATATTTTAATCACACAATACGTTTAGCTCCATTTTGAGAATATTCGATGTTTAGGAATATCGCTCAGAACTTGTTCAAGTACGAGGGTGTCCGATGCATGGTGAACTCACCCTAAAAATTATTGCTTCATTTGGAAGTTGTGTAGAAAACACATCATTTTTAACTACTGCAGCGGCAACAACTTTGTTTTTGTCTTCTGAACCATATGTATAAATTTCAATTGTCGAATTTTTAAATTGTTTTATTTAGGCTAATTTCTGCTTGAAAACGATGGAATTTGTTTCTGACTTATTGAATTCTGTAAGGGAAGTATTTATAGCTGGTTTAATTAATTTTCCTGGCGAAATTTTAGAATGAGTAGTAGTTTTATAATATCCAACGGTAAATCGGAATCTCTTATATGATATTTATATCTTAAACTTTTTGATTGAATGCATTTCTTTTTTTTTTTATTATATAAATCTTCATGATCCGGATAAAACACACAATCGAATGAAAAGTTATTGGTATTTGCTTTTAATTTTATTAAGTATTGTAAAGTTTGCTTAATTTGTCTTTTGTCGAAGGGTGATTCATTTACTTGTACTTCCACACATAAAGTGTCTACAGGGGAAGTTCGAAAAGCCCCTAAGCATAGCCGAAGGCTATCAAGGCATCAAGCTGAAGGCATCAAGCGATTTTAAGTAAGAGGTCCCTGCTGATCCGTAAACAATACAACTATAGTGTTATTTTGATCTGACTAGAGAGCGATAGAGTTTAAGAAGAGTATTTCTATCTGCTCCCCATTTATTGTTTGCAATAGCTTTAATTATATCTAAAGCCTTTGTTCATTTTTCTTTGAGCATTTTAATGTGTATGACACCTAAATAACTCATAACTTTAAATACTTTTATTGGATAGCCATCTAATTGCAAATGCGGGTCATGGTGGACTTTACAGAAATGTACACATGCAGTTTTGTTTGAAAATTTAGAACCATTCTCATCGGCCCAATTTTGAATTTTGTTTGGACACGAATATAATTTCTGCTCAATGTAATTCAAATGTTTGAATTTATAACAAAGGACAAAGCCATCTACACGTTAACTGCAAAGCATATCTTTTTTTAAAGTACTTCAACTTAACTGTTTATTTTTATTCTAAATAATGTGACTGATAGGATAATTCCTTGTGGTACACCCGTTTCTTGGTCAAAATTGTTTGAGAATGTAGACCCTAACCGTACTTCAAAATATCTATCATTTAAAAGAATTCTTAATATACTGAAACGCAAAAGAATAGCAACCCCATTTAAACATAAACATTAAAATTTGTTTTACATACTGCAATAAGTATGCCTAGGCTCTCAAACGATGCGCGCAATAGGGCAGTGCAATTACTGTTGGCTGGAAACACCCATAGTGATGTTGCAAGAACACTGAATGTCCATAAAAGCACAATATCTCAATGTCTCGTCTCTACAAACACCTTAGACAAACTGGTACGAACTGGTCGACCAAAGATGACGACGCCTCGTCAGGATCGTTTCATAAGGTTGCAGCACTTGCGCAACCGGTTTAGAACTGCACAAAAAACTGCAAATGAGACACCTGGGACGCATAACTAAGAATAAGCCGATATACTGTTGTTACACCAAAACTTTTCTGTTTTTAAATAAAAACGCCCAAAGTTTCCAACAAAGTTTATTTTGTATTCCCGTGTAACACTTTACACACAGGACCTGACTGAGTAACTAATTGAACACAAATTCTACGCTAAATATTAAGAACTGCCCAACCTACAGACCGTCAATCACTGCTAAATTAACCAGTTAATTGTGAACACTATGAATTCTGCATTTTCTCATGGTCAGCACTTCAGACATTCAATCCCCCTGAGACTCGGGTGATAAAAGTCAGTAATGCTGATAAAAGAGCTAAATTTCCCAGCCAAAATCTTAATGAGCGGTCATGACCTTATCACATAAACAGATCAATGCAGTCTGTAGCTTAGAACAATTACTACAAATCAACAAGATTAAGATAATATAAACCTAGCATTAATTATACAAACAATTTCACACAAAATTTCACTTTAACAACTGTGCTTAGGCGTCTTCGTTTATATAGCATCAAGCCGCTTTACCGTTCAGATGGGCGTCGGCATGTTTTTAGTCGCCGTGGTGAACGTTATGTCGATAACTGCATGGTGGAATGTGACAGGTTTGGTGGTGGAAGCGTAATGGTGTGGGAAGGGATCTGTTGTGGTCGCAAAACCCGCTTGGTATTCATTGAAGGCAGTTTGACAGCTCAGCGGTACATTGACACTGTAGTCGTTCCGTTTGTCCACCAGAATAACCTTATCTTCCAACAAGACAATGCAAAGTGTCATGTAGCGCGACGTTCAATTGATTTTCTTCACGAAAACAATGTCGAAACGTTACCTTGGCCCCCATACAGTCCCAATTTGTCGCCTATTGAGCATGTGTGGGACATGTTGGATCGATGTATTCGAACGCGCCAAAATCCACCAGAGACTGCCCGCTTTGCGTCAGGCACTTCTGGAAGAGTGGCAGAACATTCCTATGACACAAATCAACCGTGTAACAAACTCTATGCATCACAGAATTCGAGCAGCAACAAATGCTAATGGAGGGCATATTCGATATTAAACTAGGAAAATTTCAATGGTTACCACCTCTACATCCTTGATATTTTTTTGCAAGAGTGATGGTAGATAAGTCATAATTTGATAGAGTATTCAATAGAATAAATGTGTACCTTCTATAAGATGTAAACATTAAATCTTATACTTAAATGACATATAAAAAATTTTATCGAAAATTGGAGGTTGCGTTTCTTTTGCGTGTCTTTTCCTTTTCCTTTGAGGCCAATATTAAAAAGATCTTTCATAATTCCGTATTACCAAGAAGTATCACTTTTTCTTGGTCAAAAAATATAGATATGGCATGCTCTTTCTCAACAAAGGCATCTCGACTATATGTTTCCAGCCTAGCTAGATAGTCAGTTGTACTTCGGTTTTTTCTAAAACCAAATTGTTCAAATATTATTGGTTTCAAGAAACCATATAAGGCATTCATTGATTATCATTTCCATGGTTTTACATACGCAGTTGTTAAAGCAATTGGTCTATAATTATTTAGATCTGCTTGGTCCTTTCCAGGTTTTGGAATAGGAATAATTGATGCCTGCGTCCAGGAAGGTGGAAAATTTCCTCTTTCCTAGATCATAATAAAATTTTACAGAAGACATTCTTTGCTGTTTTTTTTTCTTTGGAAGATGTTAAATTATTTGATAATGAATCTGATCTGGTCGTACAGCTATATCATGGGAATTATCTAGAGAC